GTGAGGGTAAGAACTTTTGAAACTCAGGAATGTAGTTTGTCTGAAGACTTTGCACGGAAATATCAATAGAGCATCAAAATGCTTGTGATGTTTCATTTTTGGTAAAGAGGTTGTTGCTTGGAAAAATATTTCATCATCCACAATACAAACAGCTATACATTTTTTGAAAATAATATTACCAGCTATAGATTTCTTGAAGGAAAAATATTCCCAGAAATAAAAAAAACATTACCAGCAAAATAAAAATATCCCTAGAAATAAAAAAAAATACATATTACCAGCAATAAAAATTTTGTCAGCATTAAATAACCCATTGAGGTTGATATGTCGTGAAACAAAACAAACCATATATATATATATAAGTGCGTAGGTATGCAGAAAATAGAAAAGAACACGTTGGGTGCATAATCCGGGGTTCCTTAGTATTTTTGTTTTTATTTTTAAGAAGACAGTGCTCCATACAGAAGTAGAGCTTATATTATAATAATATTTTTTGTTTAAAAATATGATTCCTTTGCTGCATAAGAGTTCTCATGTTTCAAAAATGAGAGCCGAAATATCCAAATAATTATTAAAATTAAGTTGGATTGTGGTGTTTAAAATTTCGCTTGAAGATGAAATGGGACTAAACACCACAATCCAACTTAATTTTAATAATTATTTGGATATTTCGGCTCTCGTTTTTGAAACATGAGAAATCTTATGTAGCGAAGGAATCATATTTTTAAACAAAAAATATTATTATAATAATTATATTATATATATATATATATATATATATATATATATATATATATATAGTGTGTGTATTTTTAATCATCTCACTCCAAGCAAGGTGATAATTCCACTAGTACACAGGGGTTTACAGGGAGTAAAAGAGAATGAGAAGACTGAGAATAGGGAGGATTGAGGGATGGACAAAAAATGAACAGGGTTGGTGAAAACAATTTCTTTTTCTTAATCCTAACAAGAACAAAGAAAACATTCACATTCACAAATACTAAGGCAGGAGAACAAAATGGGGCATGATTAAAAGATAAAAATCATCTTCGAAGAAATTTAGAAACCAATTTGTATTAACAATACAAAATAAAACTCATCACCAACCTGAAAAAGCACCAGATATTAACAAAAAAATCCAAAAAAAGGTTTTGTACAAAAACAAATGTACTTTATCAGGCACCTACAACAGGGTTTAATTAGCCATCCTTATAAATGTGTGTGCTCAGAAATGAAAAAGTAGCCATTTTATATATATATATATGCATTTTGTTATATATATATATATATATATATATATATATATATATAATACATCTCATCAGGTGTTAGTAAAATACTGGTTAGTAGACAATTTATTCTGAAATTTGAGGTGTTAAATTATCTACCAACAAGTATTTCACTAATGCCTGATGAGATGTCTTACTACATATTGAAACATGATTGCATTTGTGTAGTGTTTTTACATGTTTTTGATGTAATATTCTAAAATAAAGAATATTGCTCTACTTTTTTTTTTATTGAGCCCTCTTTTAAATTGAATCTTACTAATGTCGGAATTGGATTCTGTTTGTTCTCATTTTACATGGGTATATATATATATAGGAGGTAATTGTTGTTTTGAAATATTTTATTGAAAATATAGACATTTTATATCTATTATTCAATCATTTCCTTTTCTTAAATTGTGAATGATATTTTGCAAAACTGGCTGTTGCAAATGTATGAAATTTCCTAAATCAATATAAATGTTGTGTCCAAGCTTTCGACTCCCATGTGTCATCCTCAGTGGCATGTAGGTAGTGAATTTATGACTGTTATAAACAATAAGTATAAGAGTAAAATAGGTCAAAGAAAACAATTGGTCCATCATTATATTTTAAACTAGATCGAATATGTCCAAAGCATGGGAAATCTTTTCCACCATGTCTCCTATGTATTAGTCATGTATGATGACATTTAACATTTTTTTTATTTTATATGCATTGGAAAATGCTGGGTTTGTGACATTAATTATATTATTAATGCATTTGTCTTTTTGGGGTTGTTTTTGTCTATCAAAGCCATAAACACCAGACAAGAACAACCTTGCAGCAATAAAAATAATTATCATCGCCAAACCAGCATTCTCCAATGCATACAAAAAAAAGGATCATCACAGATCACTGATATGCATTGTGACACATGATAGAAAAAAAAAATTTGCCTTTTGGGTTTATCCTATCTGATTTAATATACAGGGTGTTTCAAAAAGAATACGCTAAAATCATTACACTGTTTTTTCAGGTCTATAGCATTGTAGTAAACTGAATCAGTGGTTATTTGATAGAGTAGTTATCAAAGTTTGATTGGGTGTCAGTTTCCCCGCTGTCGTTAGTATAGTTTCTGGTGCAGCTACAAACAGGACAAACCTATCTCGAAATGCTCCAAAAATGGCTATTCACTTTACGGCAAGCAGATTCGAATGACTTCATTTTTCAGCAAGATGGAGCACCACCCCATCGGCATCTCGGGGTTAGAGCTTATATGAATGAAAACGGGCCTCAGCAAAGAAGTGGGAGAAGAGGTATTAAAGACCTTGCTCTCTGTTCTTGGCCTGCCAGATCCCTGAACCTCACTGTGTGTGACTTTTTCTTGTGGGGGTATGTTAAAGACCAAGTTTATGTTCCAGCACTTCCAGCAAGTATCGATGACTTGAAAAATCGAATAACAGCTGCAATCAACACGCATTTTGGAGGAATTCTCATATCGGCTTGATGTTGTCCGCACTGCCGGTGGTGGCCACATTGAGCACTTATAAAACATGAAATGAAACTTGAATGTATATATAACACATGTGTTCATGCTAGAGGTTTGTAATTTTTTTCGTTTTTGACATATCACGTGATGATTTGGACGTATTCTTTTTGAAACACCCTGTATATTAAATGGACTAATTATAATTTTTTTCATCTTATTTTACCTATGCCCTTATTTTTGATAACGGTTAAAAATTCTTTACCTATATACACCTGATGATGACTCACATGAACTGAAAGCTTTGATATGACAATTATATTAATTTTGAAAATGTCATACATCTGCAGCAGGTGTGCAAAAAAATTAAACATTTTTTTTTTTTTTTTAAATTGTGAATTAATTCAATAGGCCTAAAATGTCTATACTTAAACAAAATTTTATATTAGATGATCATGCAGCTGGGAAATAAAGTAATACCTTGATAAAACTCATTGAGAGTAAAATTAAACTGACAACATAACAAAAATGTCTTTGAAAATGGTTAGTGTTGTTAGCTGAAAATTCTTAGACATTGGAAATTAGATTTCCAAATATGAACCAGAAAACAGAAAAAAATATTAGAAATATGGAATAAGTCAATAAAAGAATTATTGACACGGAACTTTCCTATGCACTACTTTATATATATATATATATATATATATATATATATCTATATATATTATTTTAAAAGAACAGTAGAGCAAAATATTATAATTATTTTTTTAAAAAAGAAAATAATTATAATATATGCATACTGAAAAAGTTTTTAAGATCCATATGAGAATGGATAGTTTTTTTTTCACTGAATCCTCCTCTGCCCTTCTCGAAGAGAGAATTGAAATTATATATATATATATATATATATATATATATATATATATATATATCCTACCAGTTCATACAAACTTATTTATAAAATTAGAAAAGCTAAGTGAACTGGTTGTTGGATTATCTGAAAATAATCTTATATATTAATAGCCGATATATAATAGCTAAAAATATAATTAATACCATTGCTGTAAGTTCTGAAGAGGCTGAAAGGGGGTTTTCTGTGATGAACATAATTTATTCTGACAAAAGAAATCTTCTTGAAATTAAAAATGTGGCAAATCTTCTAGTCATAAATGTAATTGGTTTTCCATTGGATCTTTGGAACTTCAGTGATTTAGTTGGAATGTGGTTAAGGATCTTTGGAACTTCAGTGATTTAGTTGGAATGTGGTTAAGAAAGAATGACACTGGAACCAAAAATTATCAGACTTTTGAACAGAAATATGATGGGAACAGAATTTCAATGTGGAAACTTTGTAATAAATGTTTTCTATTAAATTATCAGAATGGTTTCTTTTTGATACTATATAAAGTGATTTGTTTCCATTCTCAGATTGAAAAGAAAATAAGCAGAATAGGTTGATATTGATTACCTGCTTTTATAGAACCGGATCCTGGAAATTTGGGATGACATTATTATATATATATATATATATATATATATATATATATATATGCACACACAGGGTGTATCAAAAGTACTATAACACATCTTAAATCATATTTTTCCTCTCATTTCATTGTTGGAAGTGTTACCTGATGATCCAAAAATCCCTTAAAAGGATTTTGGTGAAATAAATTATTGTCATGGTACCTTGAAGTGTCTGTTGTTCATTAATTATATATATATATATATATATATATATATATATATATATATATATATATGTGTGTGTGTGGGAGTAACTCAAATTCATGATATTCAAGCAATTTGAAATATTTTTGGTTCCACTTTATAAAATGACTCTGTTCTATGTCTTATTGGGAAATAGGCTTATTATTACTTACATAAACATTATTCTGTTTGCATTTCTAAGGAAAAATCCCAGCCCCTCCCCACCGCACCCAGTTGACCCTAAGTGATGATCTTGAACTGGTTACAAACCTGAACTGGATTCCATCTGCGAGTTATTTCCACAACAACCACTCGGTTTTCTCTGGGCTGGCTAATATAGATGAATTTATTCTTCACATTAACTGTTGATCCCCAACTACAAGGGTGGGTTGGCTCACACAGTGATAGGGGTCCGTCAAGGGCCTCAGGAATGTATTTGAAGTTTCCATAATCTTTTTTTACTTCACGCCGAATAGCACATTCAGTTGGTTCATACACAATATAACCGTCTTCATGGAATACCATGAATGACTCATGGAATCGGTTTGTGGTTACTGAAAAACAAAATAAAAAAAAGAAAAGTAAATAGATGATTGAAATGCTAATTCATAAAATACAACATTGTCAACTGAAAACTGAAACACTCGAGAACTTATATCTATTTTGGTTTTAAAATTAGGGGTAATGCAATCTTCGTCTTTCAAGTGCCAAGTCCTTCAGGATATGGGTGAGCATGTCTCGCTATACCTTGCTGTAACTCTTTTGTTGGCAACAAGGTCTCATTACTTTACAGCTGAATTGACTAGAGGTAAAGTTCTAAATTTTAATGCTAACAGTTTCTTCTGTTGCACTTCTTACTTGTGGAAGTCTTTTCTAGTTTATTGCTTCCCAGTCAACTTTGATCTTCAAAAATTTAAATGCAAAGTCAATCGTTATCTTTTATCTACTTAATTCTTATTCTTTTATTGTCCTCTCTCCTGAATAGTAGTTTTTCTTATATTCTCTAACACTCGAAAATATAACCGTCTTCATGTTAGGGGTAATGCAATCAATTCCTCGCTGTATATTTCAGCTTTTACATCCTAGTGGCTTTATTGCCTTGTTTGGGGTGAAATGATTAAAAAAAACAGGATTCATGAAAATGTGGAATTTATCACTTACCTGATTAACATTCTGAATTTTTTTTTTATATATACAAAATATTGATCAATAATATTTTTTTTGTTTAATTTTAAGGCTTTCAGGTACATTATTGCAAAGACTGCTTGCCTTAAATGTCCTTTCTTTCAGTTTTCTACTGACTGACAGCATTTCTGGCTTTACACTATATATATATATATATATATATATATATATATATATATAAAAATAGAGAGAGAGTGAAACAGAGAGAGGCAACAATAAAAATTCAAACACCCAACTAGTTTTCAGGTTAGCATTTAAAGTTAGAACTTTACATCTAGTCAATTCAGTTATAAACTGATGAGACCTTGTTGCCAATCAACTACTGCACTTAAATTCATAAATTTAGAGAAAAGTTCATCAGAACAATTACTGTGAAAATCTAAACAGAAAAGGGAAGCTACGTTATGGCGGTGGGAAAGTGACTGAAGGCAAAATGCCAGGTCAGGACCAATAACATTGCAGATTCTTCTTTGAATTTCATCAAGAAAAAACAATATGTATACTTTAGAAGGAATTTAAAAAATAAAGAAAGTAAAAAAAAATTTCTTTATTTTCTAAAGGTCTTAAATGTTAATTTTAGCTTATTTGAAGGGGTTATTATTTTTAGGATTCACAGGAACAAAAGAAAGGAGATAACAGCTACTGTTTAAAAAATAAAACGTACTCCTACAACCAAAAAAATAAAAAAAGCATCAATTCATATGTAGGAAAGTCAACTCTTGCCATTTTTTTCGTACCAATTTACAACTTGACGTAAACAAATATAAATGGAGAAACGGTATTTTTGGTTTGAAAAAGTAATTATAAAAAAAGAAATGGATAGTCTTATCTTACTAACAGTCTTGTCATTTAGGTTGTACTTGAAATAATAAAAATAAGCACTTATAAAAAGAGAAATGATAGTTTGCATCAAAATTAGTAATTATAAAAATAGAAATTATTTTTTTTTAATTAAATTATCTTCATTGAGATTAGATTCTCTGATCTCAATTCAATAGCAATTTTCCTAGAACTGCATAAATGGTAGACTTATAAATGTGGAAGATAGATACTTCTTTGGATTTTATTAAGAATCTCTAAATACATAGCAGGATCACCAGACCAGATGTGGCAGCAATATTCAATGCATGGATGAATGGTAGACTTATAAATGTGGAAGATAGATTCTGGCAAGAAAAATGATCTAGTGTGTGTGTATATATATATATATATATATATATATATATATATATATATATATATATATATATATATAAAAAAAATTGTGTAAACTAAAAATTAGGAAATTATCTCCTAATGTTTAATGTTAAAAGCTCTATATTTTTTTTTTTCACATGTGCATTGGTAACTTTTTAATACTACTGTTTCCTGGTCTAATTGAACTTTGACCATTAACCTTTTATATATTATATATATATATGTATACTAGCAAATTGTTGGTTCTGCCAACATGGCTGGTTTGGTTTATATATATATAATTATTTAATTTTTTTTTTTTTTTTTTTAGATAATCTCCTGAATGTCATAAAATACTAGAGCAATTTTTTTTGTTTTTTCTTTTTTTTTTGAAGTCAGTGTTGAAAATTTTTCAATAACTGGATTTTCTCAGCTTTGTATTCACAATTATATGATTTACTCAAATGTTCTGTCAAAATTTGTGAATTATTGACTCCACCTACTTTTATAGAGAGACTGACATAAATCATTTGAATTCTCTAAGAAATTTGGATGGCATATTCTTCAAGTAAGTGTCCTCTGTCTGCACATTACTGTTTAGGTAAGAGAGAGAAAAGCCAGAATCTAAGACAATTTGGTATGTCAGGCTTTTGGTAACCTCAATCTGCTAGCAGGTTGAGCCATTGTACGATTAAGTTAGCAATGCCTTGGGTAAACTCTCTGGAGAATAATGCACAGCATTATTGATGAGGTTCGAAGATTGTGTTATTGAATTGTGAACAGATTTGAGTTGGGTTGGAGAATTGGTGGAGTGTTGTTGCATTTCTTGGATCACATCAGATTTTCTTGAGAATGGGATTTGTTTTGTTTTTCGTTTTTATTGCTGTAAATAACTGTCGAATGCCATTTTGCAGTAAACAATTTGTGGTGGCACACTTCTAAAAATATTACCAATAACAAATTCTGGGGGAGTCAGCTTTTGCTTGCTGCTGCCAGAAAAATATTTGTCCTTTTATCAGTCGAAATGAGAGAATGGTCCATCTATTTTTCTCACAGAAATGGTTGCATTATTATTAAAGTCAAACTAGCTACTCTATCTCTTTCTTTTTTTTTTTTTTTTTTAAAATCAATTCCCCACCAAGCAAGGTAGAAATGCTACTAGTATGCAGGGGGGCTACAGGGAGTGAAAGTGAGAAAATAGGTTGAGAATAGGGAGGATTAAGGAAAGGACAAAAGATGAATGGGATTCAAAAAGATAGAAGATCACAATTGATATGTTGTATTTGAACTTTTGAAAAGTGATGTTATCAGGTAAGCAAGTAAACGGAAAGGAGTTCCACAGGTGGGACATATGAGAAAAGACACTGTTGGAGTAGAAGTGGGTATATATATATATATATATATATATATATACACACACATACTTAGAGAGAAAGTGTGAACATAGGAATTAATATTACATGGTGAGTATCAGTTTCATGGGATAATCAGACATGATTGCTATGTCCAAATTGTTTATATAAATTCTTGTCCTATAAATATAGCTCTCTCTCTCTCTCTATATATATATATATATACACACACACATATATATATATGTGCATACATATACACACACACATATATGCATACATATACACACACACACACATATATATATATATATACGCATACATACACATATATATATATACGCATACATACACACACACACATATATATATATATATGTATACATACACACATATATATATGCACACACACACACATATATACACATACATACATACACACACACACACACACACACACATATATATAACATTTCATCCAACAATGTTTAACATTTATTGTATTTTTCCAATTTTCAAGAAACTGATATTTAATATGAGAACCTCCTCCTGCCAAAAAAACAAAAACATAATATTCAATGCATTCTCTTTGGTGCTGTCATGCTCTCTTTCACTGTTTTACATATGAGATCCATGTTAGACAGCTGAAACGTTGTAATAAATATGGCGACAAAGATGAGGACAATAGTCTGAATAATGTAAATAGTGCTTTGATTCTGCTTCAGATACCAAAAAATAAATAATTGGATATGGACTTTTGAGAAGAGCTGAACAAGACATGCATTCTTCAAAAGGGTAAATTAAACCTTGTGACACTGTGATGCTCTCAGTGGCTAAAATTGTCTAAGCACACTAGATTAGACCATGATTTCTCTTAAATAGTGACTAGTCTCTTGAAGAAGTTCAACACTCACATCTTGTTGTTTATACATGCTGTGTGGACCTTAGTTAATAGTCCTGTGTATGACAATAAACTACATCCAGCAGCAAGGAGTGTGGATCCACCTATTAATTGCTGTTGTTCCCAGGTCCACGCTGAACTGATTAATTCACCTATCCAAGTTTTCCACTGCCTTAACCAGGTATTGAACTCACAACTCTTTGGGTCCTGTCACTGGATCTAACCTACACTTTTAACAGGAAATAACTGACATCCATTAGACATGACACGTGGAACTAAAACAGTTTACCCCAGCGAGCGAAATAAAGAGTTCAGTTCAACATTCACTCCACCTGAAGAAGGCCGGAGCATACAATAGCCGAAATGTTGTAATAAATATGGCGACAAAGATGAGGACAATAGTCCGAATAATGTAAATAATGTAGGATATATTTATTCTACTTTCACAATTGAATACATGGTAGATGATACTCAGCTTTTGCACATATACATGTGTGTGGACATAAAATATATATCTCTATCTCTAGTAATTATGTGGTTTTCAAGTTACATTTTGGAATTCAGCTTGATTTTTTTGAGAAATTGTCGGATATTATACATAGAGCATTCAACGGCTGAAACATTCTGATAAATAGTCCATAAAATTGTGTACAAAATATTTAAATTCCGATATTAAATGAACCATAGACGTTGATATGCTGCTCTAAAAACAAAACAAAACAAAAAAAAACAAAAAAACAAACAAACCTTAGTTAATGTTTCTGGGAGAGAGTGCATCTAGTCTGATAACCAATTTGAAAAAAATCCAGAATGCTCAAACCCTCAGTCACAATGACTTGTGACTTTGTGCTAGCACATCCATTTGCAAACAATTCCACCTGGATTGATACACTTTTCATTATTGTTGTTATTTTATTACTAGTTGTACTCCATCTTGTGA